ACCAGGGATACTAGGATAAGTAAACCATGACTCCTGCCCCCAGGACTTTTTTTTTCTTTCAGTGCTGGAATCAAACTCAGGGCTTCCCACAATTCCTGCACTACTGAGCTGCCCCTCCGGGACCCGCTTTCTGTCTTTCGATGGCTGTTTTACACTATGAGAGAAGAATGCAAGGAAAGCCTAAAAAAGTGTACAGGTTTAGAGCTCAGGGAGGACAGAAAGGGTTCCCAAGCACGCTGTGTTTGAGCTGCATCCTAAAGGAGACAAAGTTTATTTGGAGACAAGAATTGTGCCTCCAGCATCGGGGGACATGGCTTCAGGGACTATGTGTGAGAGAGTGGACTGTATGTTGTCATAAGGTGGCACGGAATGCCCAAGGGAGGAGGAGGCAGGAGTGGCCAGGGTGGATCCTGGGGGCTCTATGTGTACTGCTGCAGTAGAACTTCATTCTTGCAGTGGTGAAAGCCTTTTACAAATTATCTTTCTTAATTGTGTCAAAAATGAACTAGAAAAGGACAGGTGAAGGATGAGTGGCCTAGAGGCAAACAAAGAGCCTGTGGTGGAGAGGCAGCAGGAGTCCAGAGGCCTCAAGGAGGTCAGTGGACAGTGGATAGCACAGGCTGTGAGGATTATGCCTGGCTTCTGGCTTGGACCCACAAGGTGACTGGTGGGGTCACCTTTGGAGAAGGATGATGAATTCACTTTGGGATGAGCTGGATTTGGATGCTATTCACTTCCTAAAGCTAGCACAATTACCACAAACTGAGCAGGTTAAAACAATAGAAATTTATTCTCATAGTTCCAAAAACCAGAAGTTCAAGTCCTAGGTGTCTACAGGGCTATGCTCCTTCCAAATTCTCTGGGAGATAATCCTTCTAGCCTCTGATGTACCTTGGCTTGTGGCAGCCAGTCTTTGCCTTTGTCTCCGCATGGCCGCCTTCTATTGTCCCTGTGTCTCTCCTCTAGGTATCTCTTAAAAGAATGCTTGTTGCTGGAGTTGGGGCTTACCTGGATAATACAGACTGATAGTGTCTTGAAGTCCTTACCTTAATCTGTGGAGATCCTTTTTCCAAATAAGGTCCCATTCATGGGTTTTGGGTATTAGAGGACACAGTTCAGCCCCCTGCAGGTACCCTTGGGTGTCTCTAGATGGAGATTCTCGTGGCTGTTTACAGTGTGGCGATGGGCCTGCTGGGGGACTTGTGCCAGAGCTGGACATCCCCAGTGGAGGAGGAACAGTTGTAATGTGAGAGGCGCAGAGGGAATTCTGGAGAACCTGGATGTTAAAGGGGTCAGAGAGGGCCGGGGATTTAGCTCAGTGGTTCCACCGCCTGCCTCGCAAGTGCAAGGTCCCGAGTTTGACGCCTGGTACCAAAAAAAGGGGGGGAGGCGGTCAAAGGAAGGAGAGGATGTGTAGGTAGTAGGACTTCAAAGTGGGACAGGAAAAGGTGTCAAGGGCTAGGGAGATATCAAGTGAGGACAGTTCTGGCTTAAGTGATAAAGAGGCAGGGCCCAGTTCTGAGCTGGTGAGTGGAAGGCAGAGAAGGTTGTGTGGGGTGAGGGCTGAGTTGAGGGAAAATGTGTGTGGAAGCTCCTATGAAAACAGCAAGAGGGGGCTGTATTAGAGCTCTTGCTGTCATCCTCTGCGTGCGTGCGTGTGTGCGTGTGTGTGTGTGTTTTAATGGGAGAGACTCGAACCGCTTTAATGGCGGATCTAGTAGGTCTGTATGTACGGACAGAGGGATGTCCACACTATCTAGTCATGTGTCCCTTGGTGATAGGGATGTGTTCTGAGAAATGCATCCTTACATGATTTTGTGACTATGCAAACATCAGAGAGCCAAATTTACACAAACTCGCGTGGCATAGGTTTGTCATGTGGGTACTTCTTCCTTTTCTTCTGCAGTACTAGGAATCAAACCCAGGGCCTCGCACATACTAAGAAAGTGCTCTATCACTGAGCTACACCCCAACCCTTTGATGTGGCCTCTGGATGCAATTAGGCAGTATAGTAAACATGAGGCTGCTGCAGGTATAATACAGTATTTTGTTTTACATTAACCTTTCTTTATAAGTGGAAAAAGTACAATAACGATAAAAATATAGTAAATGCAAAATTCAGTAATGTAGTTGTTGATTATTATCAAGCATTATGTACTACACATAAATGTATGTGGTATATACTTTTAGCCAACTGGCAGTGGAGTAGGTTTCTTTAGACCAGCATCACCACAAACACGAATAATGTATTGTGCTACAATGTCATGACAGCTGTGTCACTACGTGCTAGGAACTTTTCAGCGCCATTATAATTTTAAGTACTGGGGATTGAACCCAGAGCCTTTCCACTGAGCTACATCCCCAGTCTTTAAAAATTTTTTTAACTTTTTGCAACAAGGCCTCGCTAAGTGCTTAGTTGCCCAAGCTGGGCTCAAACTTGCAATCCTCCTGCCTTAGTCTCTCAGAATGCTGGAATTACAGATGCGTGCCATCACACCTTGCTCTATTATAATCCTATGGGACCACAGTCATATATATATATATATGTGCAGCCTATGCAGTCTATCAATGGCAGAAACATAAAGTGCATGTGACTGCATATTGCCAAGTGAAAAAGGCCAGCTGAAGAATGACAAATATAGGCTGATATCACTATATTTGTAATACCTGCACTTCTATAGAAAACTTAAGAATGCACAAAACATCATTAAGAGGGGTCATCTCTAAGGTTTGGGACTGGGGCTTTTCATTTTATACCCTTTTTACTTGTTTAATGCCCTCCCATGAGCATGTTTCTTTTATAACAGAGCTCTAGTTTAATAATTTGAAATGCTGATGGTAAAGAGCCATTAGAGGGAGAAAGATGCAGGTCCAGAAGTGAGTGGTTGCTGAGGAAGCAGAACCTTAGAGCCCTAAGGCTAGGTCTGCTTTGGCCCTAAAGGGAGAAGTGGAGAACCCAAGAGGGTGTGTAATGCCCAGGGCTGGAAGTGACAGGTTTTCCTTCTTTAAGTTGGAGATAAGGCCTGGAGAGATGCGTCTTCAGTAGCAGGGTGAGGGGTAGAGCAGCTAGAAGTCAACTACTGGAATCAAAGGGGGGCTACAGGCAGCACGAAGTTCACTGTGTAAGTTGTGGCTCCTTTTCAGGTATCTGCCTCTTCCTGACATCAATCCCAGTCTTAGTCCTTTTGCAATGCTAAAACAAGATACCACAGACTGGGTGGGCTTTCAACAACAGGAATGTATTCCCCACAATCTGGAGGCTCAGAAGTCCAAGATCAAGGCACTGGCAGATTCACCATCTAGCAAGGGTCTGTCTATTTCCTAGGTACAGATGGTGACTTCTTGCTGTGTACACACGAGGTGCAAGGGCAAGCAGCCTCCTTCAGGCCTCTGTGTGTGTGTATATATATTATGTATTTATTTCTGCAGTGCTGGGATTGAAGCCAGGGCCTCAGACATGCCGGGTGAGTTTGCTACCACTGATCTACATCCCCAGCCGGCAGTTATTTATGTGGCCTCAAGCTTATGATCCTCCTGTCTCAGCCTCCCAAATATCTGGGACTACAGGCATGTACCACCCTGCCTAACAGGACTCTTGGGGAAATCCAGGGCCTTCACTCTGAGCTATACCCTCATCCCTTTTTAAATTTTAAAATTATGAGACAGGGTGTTGGTAAGTTGCCCAGGCTGGGTTCAAAACTGCCTGCAATCCTCCTGCCTCAGCCTCTCACAGTGTTGGGATTATAGGCACAAGCCACTGTGCCTGGCTGGCAGCATGATTTCAAAAGGGTGTTAATCTCATGCTTGAGGCCCCCACCCTCATGACCTAAGCTCATCCAAGGACTGCATCACTTTACTATTTCAATATGTGATTTGGGAGGTGGGGAGGGACATTCAGTTCATCACAGTGGAGCCTGGCCTGCCTTGCCTCAGGCCTAGGAGAATGAGGTCTGCGGGGAACTGGGAATGAAGGGGTGCACAGCCTCGGCCAGCAGGATGGAGGCAGCACTCAGTGTAGATAGAGGGTGAGGAAGTAGACAAGATTGCAGAATAGTGGGGCTGATAAAGGGTGGAAAGAAAGATAACAGCTGTGGGCCCAGGCTAAGTTGGAGAGAAATCTCCCAGGTGACTGGTATAGCCAGGCTTATCCTGCCTGATTTCTTGTTGGATTGAGACAAAAGGACATGCTTCTGGTGGGCCATCTGGCTCCTGGGCCCACCAGCCTTTGAGGAGCAGACACACACAACCTTTCTGTGTTTCCCCTTGGACTGCCTGTGCATCCTCAGGCTGGAGCTCCGGGAAAGCTTTGTAACTGTCTACCCAGGAGGACTTGCCCTGGGCTGAGTCCCATGAGAGGGGCCCTTCGGGGCTGTCTGAGGCAGTCACAGTGCAGGAAGGAAGGGAGGCGAGGTGTGGGCACCGCTGCTATTTCTAACCTGCCAGAGGGAAGGGAACCTTGACTGTTTGAAAAGCAGGCTGATTGTCAGGGGTGGAACCGAACTCTTAGCTGTCAGGGCCATCACATGGAAAGTACCTGGCAGGGGGCGGCGACAGGGGGCTTAGGCTGACAGGGCTGTGATTTTGAAAGAAATGCCTTTAAGAAAGTGCTTTGAAGTAGGAGAGAAATATTATTATTAGATAATGGCTGTCAGGTTATTTTTGATGTGTTCTCTGGGTATTTCATAACCCTCTCCCCCTCAGATGGTAAGCCATTCCTGGCCTGGGGCCGTGAACCGCGTCCATGGGAGTTTTACCCAGTTCCCGCATGCAGCAGGTATCAGGAGGTATTGCTGTCTGCCCAGTGGTCACTTTAGTGGGAGGTTTTATAAATAACTCTCTAGCCTTTGTTAATAAACCACAAACTTGGATGGGCACTTGGACCTTTGGTCTGAACACCTATACCACATCAAGGCAGGGACTCACCTGAGGCTCCACTTCCTTAAAGGTGAGTGGCCACAGGGTCTGCCTCACACTATCAGTTCTTGGTCTCCATTCCGCCCACCTCCTGAGTTGCATTCTCCAAAGCCCCTTCTCTGTTATCACAGCCACCTCATTTCCTATGCTCCGAATAACTCTCTGATTCTAGTTCAGAAATATTTTTTGGAACTGATTCTCTCTTCTGTACGAACTACTGGACTTTAATCCCTGCCCTGAGTTTATTAACTCCAAAACACCAACCTCTTGACGGGTCACACACACACGCACACCCCTCCATTGCCAGGCCTAACTGTGCCACCTCCCTGTTGACTGCAGATAAAGTCCAGGCTCAGTATAGTGTGCAAGCACAGCCCAGCCCACCTGTTCCCTGGCCCTTTTGACTCTGGAAATGGGATGCCCCTTCCTCTCTACCTAAAAAATGACTACAGGGCCAGGGATTTAGCTCAGTGGTTCTGCCGCCTGCCTCGCAAATGTAAGAACCCAAGTTTGATCTCTGGTACAAAAAAAAAAAAAAAAAATAACTACAGAGGGCATGAGGGGTTTTTTTTTACTGTTGTTCTGCGTGTGGCTCTTAAATGCAGCAAATCTCATTGAAATCCTCTTCCTTCTTTCCTACCCTTTTAGGTCACTCGATCTGCCCAGGAGAGCTTTTGAAGCTGCCTGCCAGGGTGACTTTGAACTACAGGGACATGGCTTTGAGGCAGCGGAGGAGCAGATGAGACGCCCCCAGCTCGTGCGAGTGGGGCTAGTACAGAACAAGACTCCCCTCCCTGCGGAAGCCCCTGTGGTAGAACAGGTACAGTCTCTCTTGACCATAAATACATGAAAGGGGAACTGGCTCACCCTTTGTTTTGAACACATCACAGTCCCCGGATGGCTACTCACTCAAGGTCTCCAGGCACCTCAAAGGGCAACCAACCAAGATACTTCTGCCCTGGCTTCCCTACTTTTCTTTAGCTTGCATATTTGGCTCTTTTTTTCTCTTCTGTGTTGTTGTTGTTGTAGTTGTTGTATTTGGTGGTGGTTCTTTGAGACAAGGTCTTGCTGCGTAGGCCAGGCTGGCCTTGAATCCAGTGCTCCTCCTGTCTTGGCCTCCTAAGTGCTGGGATTAGGAACACGTGCCACCATGCCTGGCTAAATGTATTTTTCTTTGTTGGAGAGGCCCTACTGGTGATTGAGCCCCAAGTCTTGTGCACGTTAGGTAGGTACTCTACCACTGAGCTACATCCCCAACTCTCCTCTTCTTCTTCTGGTTTGCACCCCCTCTTTGTCTTCTTGTCAGCCCTCACTGTTCTTTCCACCTTCCTTTCCAAATTCCTGTCACACAGTTAATCCAAAGTTCCATTTCCCAACCAGGAGAGTGCCCTTTGTCTGACTCAAGCTCTCTGCACGGGACACTGCCTCTCAGCTGCCTGTCAGGAGGCTGCCTGCATGGACAGGACTGTCCTGTATGCCTCTGCCTTAATCCTGAGGTAGGGACTCATTAAAAAGTCCAAAAAGTCCATCAGCTGATGGTGCCTTCAGGTTTACAGGAATATGACAGACATCCACTTAAGACTTTATAGTTAGTAAATAAATGTGATGTCACTCTGTATTTCCCTAAAGCAGCGTGTCACCAGAGCATTTGTTTTATATACTCCATTGCATTCCTCCAGCTCCTCAAAGTGTGATGGCTTTCTGTACAGCTTTTTTCTGAACACTGGAGACTTATTAGGGGTTCTTGAGAAATTTAAGGTCATTTGAATTCCAGATCAGGTTCTTCATCATCATTCACTTTGGTCCTTCCTTTGCTTTTGTTGGACTAAAATTTGTCTGGGTCTTAGGGATGTAGCTCAGTGGCAGGCATGTGTGAGACCCTGAGTTCGATGCCCAGCATTCCCACCCACTCACCCACCCACCCCTATAAAGAGGTCTGATTCTGTTTAATTTGGTCTCTAGAATTGTCATTTGTGGACATGCCCCTCTGTCATTCAAGATGGCCAGGCTGTAGCGTCAGAGCTGTCATTTCTCCCACACACACAGCACCTAGAAATACACTGCACACTGCCAACTTGAGCAAATGTGTGTTCATGACTGACGCTGGCAGGAAATATCCATGGAGCCTGGGGTACACAGCCTCTTGAGGGAAGAGACTAAGAGCATTGGAGAGAGTTTTTCCTCCCTCTGGGTTTCCAGCCTGATTCCTTTAGTCTGCCTTCGAACAATTCTGAATGTCTCCTGGGAACCAGACTTTGTGCTGAGGACACAGAAACAAGCATGTGTTCTTCCTGCACCCAAAGAGCCTGTGGGGTCCTGAGAGTGCCAGACAGCAAAGAACCATTAGCACAGTGGAAATAGTATGCTGCAGGGATATCGGAAGGTGGCTGGGAGAGTCTGCTGAAGGCTTAAGGGGACACACACACACACACACACACACACACACACACACACACAACATGGGTAACACCTCCAGGAATACTGGATGTGGGGAGAGAAGCACATTCCTGCCCAAGGCCACACTCCAATACATGAAGATTTGGAGCCAAAAAGATGAGTTGTTGACAGATAAGAGACACACAGGAAGTGGAAGTGGCCAGACAAAGCAAGCCTAACACCTCGAATGCAGGATGGTGCAAAGCAGACTGTGCCAGGAAGAGGGAGCAGCTGATTTGGTGCAGTTGTGTGTGTGTGTGTGTGCGCGTGTGCCAGCGCACCCAGTGTCAAGCAAGCAGAACCATCCTCCACACCTCAGCAACCCTACTAGGCAGGTGGTGGTTTCCCCGTTGCCAGGCAAGGAACTGGAGGGAGTGTCCAGGGCTCTCTGGGCACCCAGAGCTGCTGTGCCTCCTGCTAGTCTCGCAGAGTTTGGTCTGATGAGAGAACCAGATATCAGAACCTCGCCAGCCTACTTGCACCTGGTCAGGTGGAAGTTTATTGTTCTGTGTACATTGGGATGAACTTAAAATTGTCTCACCAAGAGAAGTAAATGGGTTCTAATCCTCACTTTTAAATCATCAGGTCTCTGCCCTCCACAGACGCATAGAGGCCATTGTTGAGGTGGCCGCAATGTGCGGAGTCAACATCATTTGTTTCCAGGAAGCATGGAGTAAGTGTCTTTTGTGGTGTTTCTCAGTCACCTTCAAACAGTTGTCTTATCTACACGTTGCCAAGAGTATCCGCTACCCAATTTGAAAAAATTTTTCCTTTCTTATTCATAGAAAGGCTATTTGTCAACAACACCAAAAGCCCTGACCTCCTTCCCTTTCAACATCCCACTCTGTCATTCCGTCCTTTTGATTCTGCCTCCCCTGCCTCCCGCATCTTTCTTTCTTTTTTTTTTTTTAACCGGGGATCGAACTTGGGACCTTGCGCTTGCGAGGCAGGTGCTGGAACCACTGAGCTAAAGCCATGCCCCCCCCCCATCTTTCTGAATCCATTCCATGCCTCCCATTCTCTGTATCACTGCCCTGGTCTAAGCCACCAGCAGTCCCTCCTCAGCTTTGCCTTTTTTTTTTTTGCTGCTGGAGATCAAAGCCAGGGCCTGTGTGTGCTAAGCTCCTGCTCTACCACTAAGCCACACCCACCCCGGCCCTTCTCAGCCTTTATAATCGCCTCTAGTTCATCTCTTGGCATCATGTGCTTTGCCCTCCTATCCCAACTTTGCTTCAGACCTCAGCTCAGGGCCAGCTGGCCAACCTCCCTATCTAAAATTGAGTTCTCTGTTATATACATTCCTGTCCCCATATACTTTTTCTTTATGTTATTTTTTATTTTTAAGTTTTTATCAAGGTTATATGTGCTCATGATTTAGAGTCAACATTGATCTATAACGTCTGTTACCAAAGTTATCTGTTTTGGCAAGAGGCAGCCTCTTTCAACACTTAACTGATTCCTTTGGAATTTACTTTTTTTTTTTTTTTCCTTTGTGGTACTGGGGATGGAACCCAGGCCCTTGACACTAAGCTACATTCCCAGCCTCTTTTAAATTTTTTCTTTTGGTACAGAGTCTCACTAAGTTGCATAGTTGGCCTTGAACTTGCTATATCCTCCTGCCTCAGCCCACCGAGCTGCTGGGATTACAGGCACACACCATTACATCTAGCTGGAATTCACCTTTGTTTCTGTTGCTGCTTCCTGATGTTTCAGTTTTGCATCATTTGTTGACTTCTAACCGTGAAAGAAGTCAGTGTTAGTCCTTTGGCACCTTATGCCCCTTCTCCACACAAGCATTCTTGTTCTATCCACATCCAGTCTCTGCCAAGGCATTTTGTTAATGTTGATTTCTTTTCTTGAGTCATTTTCTGTTTTCCCTACAGTTTGCTTTGTTTTCTACATACTTGCCATTAGTCCAACCCTACACTTCTGGTCAGTTCCCCTAACCTGTTTAGACGCATCAGGCAGGCAGGCAGTTCTATCTCCTCGAAGCAAACTGCCACAGAGCCTTCTCACTGTGCCTGTCTGGATCAGTTGCCCCCTCTGCTGGTGACACAGCTGTCATCTAGGCCCTCCCTTTACCATTATCCTCCAGGTTCTTTCCCTTCCTTTCTGGATTTACTCCCTTGTAGGAGGTAAATATTTTGAGACCTTGTGCATCTGATAATATGTATTTCTACAACTTGCTCAGTGGTTTGGGTTGGTATCAAATTCTTGTTCAGATACCATTTTCCTTCAGAAATTTGAACTTATTGCTCTGTAGTCTTCTAGCTTTGAGTTACTGACTAGTCCCAGACTATTTTGATTTATGAGCCATTGTTTATGATTTGCTTTTCTCTAGAAGTTTATAGGATCTTCTGTTTTTGCAGATACTCTGCAATTTCATAATGATGTCCTGGTGGTCTCATCTCTTTCTACCGTGTTATTCTGCTCACACAGTCGATTCTTTCAGTCTAGATACAGGTCTTGTAGATTTAATTTCCTTGTTTTATTTCATTAGTTATTTTCTCTGTCAAAAGGCAAAGTTAAAATTAGTTTAAGTTTTAATTAGCTTTATTTGTGATTCTAGGACCAGGCATGCTTTTTCTATGGAATACTCCAGTGAGCTGAGCAGAAGAGGTTGGTGGCTTCATAGACTGAGAAGGGCTAAATGAAATAGAAGCAGAACAAAGACAGGATTGGTTGTTTCAAAGTTTCCTTCCTTGGAAAGTGGGGACAGGGAGACAGAACATTAGAAAAATAACTGATTGGGGCCGGGGATTTAGCTCAGTGGTTCCGCCACCTGCCTTGTAAGCACAAGGTCCCAAGTTCGATCCCCGGTACCAAAAAAGAAAAAACAAAACAAAACTGATGTGGTTGACATTAGATTCCTTCTTTGATAAGTTTTAAAGCAGAGGGAATGACATTGTGATGTTAGTTGAAACTGGCCCTTTGGGAAATTTTGTTATCTTTTCTCTTTCCTAAGGTCAGATAACAACTTTGTTTGGTAATGCAGAACTTCAGTGTGAGTGATATCACCTTGATTTTTAGTCGTCTCTGTTGGGGCCCAGTGCAGGAGCTTAGTCCAAAACAATAGCCTTCTATAATTTTTATTTCACATTAATCTCTTTTTTTTCCCCCTCTTCCTGAATTTTCTACAGTTAGGATGTTGGAACCCTGGACTATTTTCCTAATTTTCTTATGTATTTCCTCCTACATCTTGTTTTATTCAATTTTATCTAATTTGTCATTCAAGCCATCTATTCACTCTTTCATTTCTGCTGTCATGTTTTGAATTAACAAGCATTCTTTTGCCAAAGTTCCCTGTTTTATCACATCTTGCATCATTGTTGCAGTATCTTCTCTTATTTTCTAAAGATACTAATATTAAGTAAAATTTTGTTCCTTTTGTAGTCCCTACTTCAAATTGATCTTTTTTATGAGTATCTGCTTATATTTTAAGAATTAGGGATTAAAAAGCTGACTGTGAGCTATGAGTTTGTGGAAAGGGCTCATCCACTGAACTCCATTACAGGAGGATCTGAGTTATGGTAATCCTGATGTGAGTATCTCTGAATCGTTCCCCTCAGGTTGGTCAGATTCCTCAGAAAGGATCCTTCTACCTTCTTGCCAAGACAGGAAAGATAACAAGGGTCCCAAATAGTGATGTTTGCATTGCTTTTCCCATTTTCTGTTACATTTGTTCTTTCACTCTTGTTTGTGTCTTCATTGGTCTGCTGCCTCCATTAAACTGTAAACTCCAGGAGGCCAGTGCCTATGTTAATTTGTTTGGTTTTTTTTGCCCATCTCTACCCACCCCCATCCTACTTGTCATAGCTGCTACAACCCCTGGTGCATGACAGGCACTAAAGATATTTATTGGACAGCTTAACCATCCTGCCCTTTGTTAGACTGGAACTCCTATCAAGACTTAGCACAGACACCGCCTTCTTGGTGGGGCCCTGGGGACTCCCCCAGGCAGAGCTGAGCGCTCTGTCCTACTAGGATATCCATCCTAGGTCATAATCTGCCTCTTTTACCCTTGGCAGTTCCCAAGGGCAGGGCCAGGTCTGAATCAAGAGCCTGGCTCCATGTTCGGTCTATGAATATGGGAACCCCTTCCATATTGGAAAACTGAAGTTGGAACTTTGCAGTTCCTGGCCTCCCCCTAACCTCCATTCCACACACTCCTTTTGAAAGTTTATGTTAGAGTATTTGCGTAAGGAGGAAAAGAACCTATTAAAATGGAAACAGAAATTTGGACCCTTCTCAACTTGAAATGAAATCATCATGGTAGATTTTATTCTCTGGGGGCACTTGAGTCATTCCTAATGCTCTAAAAGCTGAGAATTAATGGCCATTAAGGAACATTTTTGTTATCAACAGTTTTTTTTTTTTTACTTCCTTAAAATAGTTCATCCATCTTCACCACGAGGGCCCTAAGGACTCTTGAGCCTGGTGCTGAAGCCCTGGGGCTGTTGCTGGCAGCACCTGTAACTTGCTTGGGCAGCTGAGAGCCTGGCTATGCCAATGGTGATGTGCTCACTCTGACAGTCTTAGGTCCAGGCTTCACGAGACTGGAAGGAATTAGGAAGCTGAGGCTTCTCTTCTTTCTCTGTGAAATGAAGAGAATCACCACTGCTTCATGGGGCGTTACCACACCTGGAACCATGTTTGGGAGATGTTGGCTACCATTGTGTCTCCTAAATAGGCCGCAAACCCCATGCCAAGGCCAGTTAAACACCCCCAACCACACGAAGCCTTCTGTGAACATGTCTTGCAAGTTGGCCAGTTCAGAGCCAGTGGAATGATAGCAAACATCTAGAAACTTCCATTAGTTAATCCCTGTAAAAGAAATGGACTTGGGTTCATGTGAGGGAATGGAGCTACAACGTGTGCTGAGTTAGCCCACAGGTCCTGGGTTCAATCACTAGCACTGAAAAAAGGTAAAACCAAACACACACACACACACCCCAACCCAAAAGCAAAAAGGAAGCCTAGTGGGCTTATGAAGTTTCCTATTGAATTAACCATCTAGTAGGTGGTAGCAAGAGATCATGAGAATAATAGTGCATTTATTCTTGGATGCATCCAGTGGTCCAGTGGCTAGACTTCTTATGGGATCACTCAGTGAGTGCCTTTTCTTATTTCTGAAGATGAGGAGAGTCCCCATGGTGACCTGCTGCTGAGCCAAAGAGAACCCCTCAGGCTTTGTGTGTGATAAGAATCTGACCTTTATCCTCTTTACAGCCATGCCCTTTGCTTTCTGTACAAGAGAGAAGCTTCCTTGGACAGAGTTTGCCGAGTCAGCAGAGGATGGTATTACCACCAGATTCTGTCAGAAGGTAGGAAACTAACTCCTCCTCTGACAGCAGCTGCTGAACCTGCACAGGCTTCAGGACACAGCCACAGCCATCAGATGTCCTTTACCATGGAAAATGTACTTCTTGGGTGCTTGTTTTATCAAGTAAGATTAGATAAGCCTATTTGCCACCTTCTTTTACTGAAAATCATAGACTTTCCGACCCTCCAGAGCCCTTTGTGGCTTTTCCAGGTAAAGGAACGATAGCCCAGGAAGGGGGTGCTTTGGGGGTAACTTGGTGCTAAGGCTGGTGAGTGACAAAACTAGCACTCAGGGAGCAGGGACATTGATTCCTTGTCCAGAGCTTTGCCCGCTGCACTTGCCATTAGCTTGACTCACTGGCTCATCAGTGTAGAAATTGGTTTTGATTTTTCTTTATTAAAGTTTCATAATACATGTGATATGATCCCATTTATATGAACTGTCCAGAACAGGCAAATCTCTAGGGACAGAAAGCAAATTCATGGTTGCCTCAGGCAGGTGGTGAGGGAAGCAGTGACTGTTAATAGGCACAGGGTTTCTGTTTGGGATGATGAAAATGTTCCAAAATTAGATTGTGGTGATGGTTGCAGAACTCTATGAATGTACTGAAAACCATTGAATATTACACTTTAAAACAGTGAGTTTGGGGCCAGGGATTTAGCTCTGGTTCTGGCGCCTGCCTCGCAAGCGCAAGGTCCTGAGTTCGATCCCTGGTACCAAAAAAAAAAAAAAGAGTGAGTTTTGGAGCTGGTTATTATACTTCAGAGGCAAAGCGCTTGCCTGTCATACATGAGGCCCTGGGTTCAATCCCCAGCACTGTCAAAGAGGGAGACAGGCAGAGTTCTAGGCTGCATGAATTACGTCTTAATAGAGCTCTTACCGAAAAAGCCCATAACGTTCGAAGAGGGGAAGGATAGCCTATCCTTATTCTCCCTCTAACATAATGCCTTTGATTCCCTCTGCGTTCTTTTAGACTTCATACATATACTTAGGGTTTGGGGAGGCAGAGCTACGATCACGGTGATTTTACTAATACTGAGTCTATATTCGCAAGCTACAGGAAAAAAATTATTCATCAGGTTGGTGGTGTGGAAAGGAGGCCGTTGGTTTGGTAACTCTGAACTAGGGTTGGGAGAAGGGTGTAAATGAGAGCTGGTGTCGGGGCACCTGTCAGCATCAAGAGGGACCAGGGGCCCAAGGCTGCCCAGAGAGCCACTCTTAGTATCGTCTTCTGAGTGTGGCTTCCCTTCTCTGCTGTTGGTAAGGCCAGCGGTAAGGACGAACTGATAAGAGTTGAGAACAGATGGTAGCTGGAACTGTTCGTCCTTATGGTCACCAGGGCCCAATGTTCTTACTTGCAGCAAAAGGAATTTAGTGCCTGCTGGGGCTTGAATGTGTCCCCAAAGTTCAAGTGCTAGAAACTTAATACCTAATGTAAGCATTGAGAGATGGGACCTTTAGAGGTGATTAGGGCACAAGAGCTCGGCCCTCAAGAGTGGATTAAGGCCTGTATCTCAAGAGTGGCTCCCTCTTGAGGGAGTTTGGCTTCCTCTCTCGTCCTTCCACCTTACACCATGGGATGACACAGCATAGAGACCCTTACCAAATGCTGGCTCCTCGATCTTGGACTTCTCAACTTCCAGAATTATAAGAAATCTGTTCTTGGGCTGGGGATTTAGCTCAGTGGTTCCGGCTGCCTGCCTCACAAGCGCAAGGTCCCGAGTTCGATCCCCGGTACTAAAAAAAAATCTCTGTTCTTGATAAATTCCCTAGTCTCTGGTATCCTGTTATAGCACCATAAAACAGACTTAAGTGCTACAGTGCTGGTTGTTTTGTTTTTGTATAGATGAGAAGCATAATGCATATTTTTTTAAATTGAAATACAGTACCACTATGTAGTCCAGGCTGCCCTTAATTTGCAATCTTCCTGTCTCAGCCTCTTAAGTGCTGGGATTACAGACTTGTACCACCATGCCCATTTTTTTAAAAATTGTGATATAAAGCATACAATGGGGCTGGGGATTTAGCTCAGTGGTTCTGCTGCCTGTCTCGCAACCACAAGGACCTGAAATCAATCCTCAGTATCAAAAAAACCCCCATATAACAAAGTTTAACATTTTAACCATTTTTGCACGTACCATTTGGTAGTGTATATTACGTTCACATTGTTGTGAGACAAATCTCCAGAACTTTTGCATCTTGCAAATCTGAGACTCCAAACCCATTAAATGATAATTTCCCATTCTTCTTGTCCCTAGGCCCTGGCAACCATCATTCTACTTTTTGTTTCTCTGAATTTGATTACTCTAGGTATCTTACATGTAGTGTTTGCCTTTTTTTGACAGGCTAATTTCTTTAAGCATAATGTCCTCAAGGTTTAACCATGTTGTAATGTGTGACAGGATTTTCTTCCTTTTTTTTTTTTTTTGGCACTGAGGATCAAACTCAGGACCTTGCACTTGCAGGCAGGCGATGGTACCACTGAGCTAAATCCCCGGCTCGATTTTCTTGCTTTTTAAAGATGAATAGTATCCCATTCTTGTATATACCACATTTTACTTATCCATTCATCTGTATTTGTTTTTTGTTTTTAATTTAACCATAGTGAGGATTAAACCCAAGGCCTTCACACTGAGCTACATCCCCACCCCTTTTATTTATTTTTTATTATGAGGCAGGGCCTCACTAAGTCAGGAAGGTGCCCAGGCTGGGCTCAAGCTTGTGATTCCCCTGCCTGAGCCTCCCAGAGTCCTGAAATTACAGGCACAGGGATGTGCCACCATGCTGGGCTGCGTTCATTTGTTGATGGACACATGGGTTGCTTTTGCCTCTCGGCTGTTGTGAATGCTGCTGCTATAAGTATAGGTGTAGAAACATTCTTTCTTCCCCACCCCCTCTCTTTCTCTTGGTTTTTTGGAGACAGGGTCTTGCTGTGTAGTTTGGGTTGGGCCTCGAACTCACTATGTATCCCAGGTTGGCCTTGAACTTGTGGCAATCCTTCCACCTCAGCCTCCCCAGTGCTGGGATCACAGGTGTGCACCACCATGCCCACCAGAACCATCTCTTTGAGTTTCTGCCTTCAGTTATTTGGTTATATACCCCAAAGTGAGATCGTGTAATTCTATGTTTAATTTTTTTTTTTTTTTTTTTTGTACCACGCATCGAACTTGGAACCTTGTGCTTGCGAGGCAAGCGGTGGCACCGCTGAGCTATATCTATGTTTAATTTTTTGAGGAGCCTCCATACAGTTTTCCACAGTGGCCACACCATTTTATATTCTCACTAGCAGCTCACAGGGATGATGACTATCATGGGCATCAGGACAACACTGATGGCACTTAGTATTCCTAATAACATCCGCTGCAAGTGATAGCTCATTAAATGCTCCACTGAAAAGATACGATTGATTTGAAAGTGAAACACTGAAATTCATTTTCCAGCTGGCGAAGAAGCATAGCATGGTGGTGATATCCCCCATCCTGGAACGAGATCGAGATCACGGGGATGTTCTGTGGAATACAGCCGTGGTGATCTCCAATTCTGGAGCAATCCTGGGCAAGACCAGGAAAAACCACATCCCCAGAGTGGGCGATTTCAATGAGGTGAGCTGCCCCTTGGATAACCAGCCTAGCTTGCTTGTCCCCCTTCCATGTATGGATCTCCCTGGGCCCTTCTGTGGGGGAAGTTCTGTGTGGGGTAATGTCACCCCGTGTGAGGCTGCAGCACAGTGTGGCTGTGGTACTCAGAGGGGCTCATGACCTTGTCCTGGGTCACACAGGAAGGTGGGATTCATGTGGGACTCGAGTGAGTTCCAAACATTTTAGCACAGTCGGGCTTTTTTGTTGTTGTTTTGTTTTTACTGTAACTTGATTTGGTTGTTTGAAATTCTCCTTTGAAGTAAGTAGAACATAAAACCAAAATAAAGAGTGGAGAAATGTGAAATGATCCCTGTGGCCCCTTTCAAGCTCTGACCTCCTAGGTGACCATGACCAGTCCCATTCTGGGGAGGTGGCATTCCTTGTCCATAACTTACGTGGTACCTGTTTTTTGTTTTGTTTCTGTAGTGCAAGGGTATGAACCCAGGGCTTCATACTGAGCTATATCCCCAGTCCTTTTTAAATTTTTTATTTTCAGACAGGGTCTCACTCAGTTGCCCAGGCTGGGCTCACACTTGTCATCCTCCTGCCTCAGGCTCCCAGAGTACTGGGATGATAAGCGTGCGCCACTGTACCCAGTCTGAGTTGGCTCGTGTTCGCGGGTTGGATGACAGGAAGTTAACGTGCCTGTCTGTGTACCTGTGTATTACATGGGACTTTTTATGCCTGTGATCAGGGTATAAATCAGGAGACTACTTTGCCTGGTTAATGCCAATTCATAGGTGGGGGAGATGGAGGGAGTGGATGTTTAAAGGAGGGAAATGAACTCCACCTAAAGCCTAAGATATTAAATCTGAACTTGATTTTCAAATAGGTACAATTGTTCAGGTTGTGATATCACTTGTCCTTTATCTTCTTTTGCTGATCATGGGGGCCCAGTCATACTCAGGCTGGTGAGGAGAATGAGAAACCATCTACAGGGCTAGGTGAGGTTCCTTGGGTGAGAGAAGAACCCAGTGTTGCTCAGAAACAGGTGGAGGTGGGGGCGGACAGACATGCCCCTTGCTATTTACCCTTCGATTAATCATTAGCTCCCTGCAGATAGCACAGGGCCAGTCTCAGTGCAGCAGGTCTGCCCCAGTGTCTACCACGTGTGCATATCCGGGTTGCTGCCTGAACCTGGTCGATTTTGAAATTAAGAGGAAGTGGAAAAGGCTCCAGGAGCGGATCTGTTTGGGACCCAACTTTCCCTCTACCATCCCTAGGTGCTGCCCTTGGGAAAGTTCCAGGGCTGGGCAGGCAGAGAGGCAAGGATGGGAGAATGGAGTTCTCATCTGGCTGCCCTGTGGGCAAGTCCCAATGCCACTCAAGTGACCGTTTTCTCTGGATGCTTGCTCTGGATGAATCCTCGTCCCTTTGGCTCTAACATTCAGAAAAAGAACATGTGCTTGCTGAGTCCTTTGAGCAACTCATGGGAACATCAGCCAGACCCCAGCCTTATGCTGTGATTGAAACCTCACCATAGTCTTTCCTTGAAATACCATGGAAAGTTACTTTGGCGATGTTTTTGTTTTGTTTTGTTTGATACCGGGGATCGAACTCAGGACCTTGTGCTTGTGGGGCAGGTGGCGGCACCACTGAGCTAAATCCCTGGTCCCTTTGTTGATTTTTGATACCTCACAAAGGAGATTATGGATGAATACTTAAAGCCACAGTGACTTTCCCTTGGAGATGGTTTACTTTTGTGTCTGGATTTGTATATGTATATTTTTTAACATTTTAAAATTCCGCAATTTAGAGTCACACCCAAGAGTGTTATTTTTGGACTCTTGGTGATATTTCATGTTTTCTGATGAGTCTAGGGAAAGAGAAATTCTTATAGTGCTGAGGCATCGATATAATGGCCTTTTGTTGTTTTTCTAGTCAACATACTACATGGAGGGAAACCTGGGCCACCCCGTGTTCCAGACCCAGTTTGGCAGGATTGCAGTGAACATTTGTTATGGGCGGCACCACCCCCTCAACTGGCTTATGTACAGCATCAACGGGGCAGAGATCATCTTCAACCCCTCAGCCACCATTGGCACACTCAGGTCACTCGGTGGGCAGATCTGGGGGGCTTCCTGGGGCCCAGCCACCAATTCAGGCCCAAGGCCATGATGCAGGGTTCAGAGGTGGGTTTTATAAACAGCAGGCAGGTGTGGCTATCAGAATGTTGAACAGATCTGAGCCCTGAGGTTGTAGATTGCACATTTAACCAACTTGTTAGTGAAAAGAATTCTCCGGATGACACAACTCCTGATCCCCAAAGAGCTGCTCACTCTACTATGAGACATCAGCCTTTGCTGTGATCCTGAACTCTGAAATGAAAATAATAATCCCACCTCCTGCATGATCATCAGGATTCAGAAAGTCCTACTTCTCAGTCCTAGAGCACAGTACGTACCTGGCTAGCATCAGCTCCCGGAAAAGGGCTGTGGACTCCTGCAGCATCCATCCAGGGAACACAGACATCCAGGTGAGACAAAGAACAGGTGAGGGCTTGGAGCCCACAGGGTAAGAGATCAATCCCAGAAACTTATTTTAGCCAATGAAGTGGCTTCCTCAGTGACACTTAATAACAAATGTTTGGGTGTCAGTATCCGATAACTGCTCTACTGCAGGCAGTGCTGGGTGAGGTGGACTTGGCAGCCCCTGAGCTCCTGGGCAGGACCCCCAGGGCCCCTCATCTGATAAGGGCAGCAAGTAAGCTTAGAGAGCCCTGACATGACTATCCTGCTGCTGATTCACTTCCCCAACAGCTGAGCATTTGGGTGGTTTCCAGCTTTGCATCATTACAAGTCACAGAACTCTAGGAATTATTGCAAACATTTTCCTCCCCATCTCACTTCTTCCAAAGCCGGCAGCCTGCAGCAAGAGGTCTTGGATTTCTCTCTGCAGTCCTGGTTGGTCAGGTCCCAGCAGGGCTAAGCCCAATGTTGGGGACCAGTGGAGGGAGGTCTGATGGGCAGCTCTGAGTTCTCTGTTGGGCCCACATTTGTCTGTTTCTAACTCTTGCTTTCTAAATGTCAGAACGTGATGGTTATTTTACCTTTTCCTTTATACATGGTGATGCGCTCTCTCAAGTGACATCCCCTGTGCTTCCACGTTTGCATAGCAAGTCGCTAATCCAGTCAGAATGTAACCCTCAGTCTCTTACCTCAGGTCCCCTGCCTTGTCTGTGCTGTTGGGTAGAAGTAAAAAATCAGGCCTTGGACCTTCCTTCGAGTTTCCCCTCAGAATATACCAGGGTCTCATAGTGGCTTGAGCAACAGTAACAGTGTCCATTGGTAGTTCTGAGGCAAAGTAATCACTGGTCATCCACTGGGCCTGTGCAGAACCTTGGTCCGCTAAGCGTCCCCCTCTGACCATTTATGTGTAAGACATTCTCGCAGCTCTGTCTTCCTCGCAGGGATCACTAGAGAAGCCTGAAGCCCAACCCCTGGGTACCTGGGCCTGAACTGGCTTCTGGCTGCAGAACCAAACGGCCACCTCGCCACGCAGGTGCAGAAGCCCTCCCTGACCCTGCTGTCTCCGGCTTTTATAAGCCCCGATTAGCAAACAAGCGCCCCAATATAATATGCACATAACCACTTGTGTCCTGGCAGCCTATTAGGCTTATTAACAATGATTGATTTCCCTTTCTCAGCCAAGAATTGTCCAGCCCTCAGCTTTCAAGGGTATAGTGAGACTGGCAGTAAAAACTGTTGCAGGCCTTTGGGAAAGTGAAGTGTTTCATGAACTCCTAACTTGTTCGTGTCCTGTAACCAGATAATGACACTCCAGAACTGTAGCCTAAGGAAGTGATGTAAGAGGAGGACAAGGGTGTGCGTGTGACAAGAGAAATGTCAGGGTTAAGTAAATTTCAACCCATTTTTTCCATGGGTTATTGCCACTAAAAAGTCATTATGAAGATAATGATGTATCATGACAAAAGCCTATGAGCCATAAAAAGATGTATCTAGGCTGTGGTCAGAACTCCATAAAATTTTTTGGACCATGAACAAGGATGGTCATGGAAAGATGACAACAGGTGGTTTATTGGGGTGGTGAGATTCGGGTGATTTTAAAGTAATTACTTGCAGGGGCTGGGGATTTAGCTCAGTGGTGCAGCCACCTGCCTTGAAAGCACAAGGTCCTGAGTTCGATCCCCGGTACCCCCCCAAAAAATAATTACTTGCAGAGTTGCTAGTGCTTTTAGCACGGTGCCAGGAAGAAACCCCACAGTGGGTCACAGCTTCCAGAACCCTCCAGCCCCTTCTCTGATATCTTTTGCCCTCCCTATCAGGCACACATTTGCCTGCACTGTGGCTTAGCAAGGTGTCTTCACTCAACTTTGTGTTCCACAGTTCCAAGCCCACAGTAGACTGTAAAGGTTTTTTTATTCATTGAGTCATTCTGACAGTCCCTGGATGTGGCCAGCACAGCCTGAGTAGCTGAATATTTCTGCTTTGTTTGTTCATCAGAAAGTCGCTGTCCCATGCCCTTGGTACATTTTGCCTTCCCACTGTGATGATTTTTAGGGATCTGTGTATGTTACACTGGGAATATGGCAAATGTCCCTATCCCTCCATCAGAACCCGCACACACTGGACTCTCACGAACCTCTGGCTTCCTTTCCCTTTGTGGTTTTGAGAGCATACATTTTATTGCCAGCTGTGGGTTTGAGTCCTACGCAGAACACCTCCCTGGAGAATTGCAAGAAAGATGTTTTATGGCAACTGCTCTGCAAGTGTCTGTTGAATTCCTGAAAATGTCATGTACGGGTGTATTTCTGTAAAAACCCTTTCTTAAAAGTTTTGTCAGCTTGGCTTAGCAGTTGGGGGAAAAAAACTAAAGTCTCCTCAATCAAGCCCTTGATTTTTTTTTTTCTTTTATCCTTTTCCAGACTCGTGAATCCTCCTGAGAATTAGGTTTGTGACAAGCACACACCCCCTCCACCTACTCCATGGTTTAAACCAGGTGCACGCTGACAGGAAGGAAGATTCCAGGGCATTTGCTACCAGTCACTCAGTATTTCTAAGTGGGCATTGTTTCTGCTAGTCTAGAATCTTTTTTTTTTTTTTTGGTACCAGGAATCAAACTCGAGTCCTTGTGCTTGTGGGGCAGGTGGTAGAAGCACTGAGCTAAATCCCCAGCCCCGGTCTAGAATCTTAATGATGGTATCCCTTGGATGAAAGATAAGCAGTGACCAGAAGGCCCACTGAGTCCCATGTGGACTAGAATAGACAGGGTCTCTTGTTGAGATGAGGTCTTCCCACTACACTCTCCCTTTGCTGGGTGCTGGACCAAGGAAGGCCCACAACTCATCTGTGCCTATGAGTGGGGGGCAGTAATGGAACAAGGGAGCCTCTGCTTGAGGACACAAGGTTCAGAGAAGGAAAATGGGAAGGAGGTCGTGGGAAACAGCTCAGAGGTGGCAATTCTGCAGAATGTGACCCCCTCACACCCCACTACATCTCGATCAGTCTTCACAGTCTCCTTTTGAGGGAGTTTAGGAGAAAGAAGCTTGGGATGAGGATCTGATGACTGTTCTGGTAGACCACAGCTACAGGGCTTCACCTAGAGTGGGGCTTCCCTAGAAGGCTGCTTAGGCTTAAGCCAGGTGCTGAGGATGAGCAGATGTGCTTGGAGGTCTGAGGTGACCCATGGGGACAATGAGTCCCTGGCTGTCCCCACTAGCGGCCTGGGAAGGCCAGTGGCCCACCTGCAGCTTGGCCCGAGCATCCAGAGTCTGGCTGGAGAGCTGGCAACCTGACTCCTCCCGTTCTTCTCTTACAGTGAGTCCTTGTGGCCAATTGAGGCCAGAAATGCAGCAATTGCCAATCACTGCTTCACTTGTGCTATTAACCGTGTGGGTGAGGTGAGTCTCGAGGTCTGACTGAGAAGAACCACTGCTGCCTGGTGGCCCTGGTCAGGACATATTACAGGACCACACGATCACATGTCTTCTCCCTGTTCCTTGTACCTGCGTGCCACAAATTGTAGGGACCCAGAAGTGGAAAAACTGACTGGGTCTGTTACTTTTGTTCTGTTTTTAACTAAAACCATCCTGAAAGAATCTTTGATTTAGCAGTTTTCACTTTCTCACTTCCCACTATCCAGTTTGTTTGTTTTATTTTGTGTGGTATGAGGGAGCAAACCTAGGGCCTTGTACAGACTGGGCAAGCACTCTGCCACTGGGCTTCATCCTTCGCCCTTTTTAAGTTGCTTATGAGACACAGCCTTACCTACTTCCCCAGGCTGACCTTGAACTCACAATTCTTCTGCCTCAGCCTTCCCTTAAGCTGGGATTACAGGCATGTGTCCAGTTTAATTTCTCCCATTGATGACCCCAGACAGGAAACGGCTTCGACTACCAAACACAACGCATTTATTTCCATAATAACTCTCTTCCTTGTTCTTTCTAATTGGATGTCAAACTCCTATCAGAACATCTGCTCACTATGATAGAACCAAGGTTTCCACACTAATTCTATCTGATTTCTGGCAACATAAACCCAGTGATTGTTTTTGTTGTTGGTCGTGGTGTTTGTTTGTTTTTCTGTACTTGGGTTTGAACTCTGGGGTACTCTACCACTGAGCTAAGTCCCCAGGCCAAAGTTGCCCGGGTGGATCTTGAATTTGTGATCCTCCTGCTTCTTCAGCCTCCCTCAGTGCTAGGATTATAGATGTGCACCACTGTGTCCAGGCAAAACCTGTTGTTTTAATTGGCCTCTGAGACCCACATTACAGCTCGATGTGTAGTTCCCGTCAAGCTTTGGGGAAAATATTTAAAAAACAATGTGAGGGCTTCCCTACCCACTTCTTGCTTTTACAGAGCCCAGCCTGGGATCTTAACTACTTCAGGCAGGCCAGCCTCACCTGTCTCCCACAGCCTTGAGAAGCAATCAGTGCCCAGTGTTTGTCTTCCCAGATTAGAAACTTCTCAAAGGCAAAATCCAGGTCTTTATCTTGCTTGCCAAATTCCCCGCTGGCTGCCCAATGCTGGTGCTCAGTGGGGCCTCTAACAAGTGATTGCCCAATGAGTGCAGCTGTTTTCATTCACTTTAACCATTAACTCTGCCTGGCCGGCTTGCTGTTCTTAGTCTGGCTAAGTGATCTGCGATGAATGTCATAGTTGTGCCACCTATAGGTTCCTCTTACCTTGTTGTTACTTCACAGGAACACTTCCCCAATGAGTTTACCTCTGGAGATGGAAAGAAAGGTATGTTCCATGAATTTTGGTGGCAGTGGGCCTCATCCTCCCCTTCTCCACCTGCTTCTCTCGGCAGAGTTTGCCCCACAGCCTGTATCTGGAACCTAGGAGGAGGCACTAATGCCCCTCTGCTTTATTGCTCATAGTGCATTGGAATTTGACTGGCTGGGAGCAAATAGGCAGTCCTGGGCTTGTGACCACTTCATTCCTCAAATGAGAATATAATAGGAATAGGATTGGACTGAATCCCTCCCCCAGGACTGGGAAGAAGATGGATCAGAGAGGATTTGAAGGAGCAGTCTGTGAGCTTCCTAAAGGGGAAGTGTTCTCATGCAGCCTGTAAACTTCCCTACCTCTTTTCCTTTGTCCCTCACCCCCATCCCCCACACCAGGTACAAATGCCCTTGAGTCAGCATGGATTGCCTTGAGTTTCTGGTGTCCACAGCCTATTTTAATCTGAGGACAGCTGTCACTACACCTCTGCTGGGAACCCTACACCCCAGGTCCCACCTCTGTGGCTGTGAGAAGGAAGGGTGACTTCTCACCAAGGAGGTGTTTGAATTGGCTTGGGCTGTCACCCCCCAGGAATACGGAGGATCCTGAGCAGATCTGTTTCCCAAGAAAACATTTCCTACAGGTGGTCCCAAGTCCCCAACATGAGGCCACAGATTGCACCCTGGATTCACAGATTCTCCAATCCCAGTTAACTTCTTTGCCATGGAGGTACAGAACTGGCAGGAAAATTAGTATCTGGGCCTGTGCTAGATTGGCCCAGACCCATTACAGAACACCTCATTCTCCTCCCACCTCCTCTTCGGGGCTGTAGAGATCTCCCAGTTCTCACCTTAGGCTTCCTGTGCTAGATTGGCCCAGCCCTGCACCCACCTCCTCACATGCCTCAGGGTGGTTCTTAGCACCCTGTGACTGAGGGGACTGAGGTGTGGAGGTAGGAGATACTGTAGTTTGTTTACTCAGTGGGGCCACCACAGGAAGTAGATCACACAGGAAGCCCCCAGAGCCTTGATTCCCTTGGGGTATGAGTGGTGGATGTTAAGAATGAAGAGCCACACCTTTAATGGGTGACATTTAGAAATCTTAGGAGCAGAGAGGAGTGATGCAAGGGTGACCTTTGCAACTACCTGCTGGGCCTTCAGGGCTAAGGAAGAAGACGAGCCCTTTGGGCCTCAGCATTTGGCAGGCACAGGGGAGGGCAGTGTGGATGCCTTGTCCTGAGTATCTCTCTGTGCCTGCCTTTCTGCAGAGCCTACACTTTGTCTATTACAGCTCACAACTGTTTCCCTTTGCTCCTTGTAGCTCATCAGGACTTTGGCTACTTTTACGGCTCCAGCTACGTGGCAGCCCCTGATGGCAGCCGGACTCCTGGGCTCTCCCGTAACCGGGATGGGCTGCTGGTCACTGAACTCGACCTCAATCTCTGCCGGCAGATGAACGATGTCTGGAACTTCAAGGTAAGGCCCAAGTTCCCTTCTGTACCCTGCTTCTCTACTTTGGTCCCCCATCCTTCCTGCTGGATGGGTAACTACAGCTGTAGGGTTTGCCCTTAGCGACCGCTGATAGGAGGTGCCCACTCCCCACCCGAGTCCATGGTGAGCAGCCAGCCAGTCCCTGCCTCTTGCTGGCTGTAGGGAGGAACTGTTGGGCTGGACAGTGTACAGGCAGCAGGCTTCAATAATTCTCCTCTCATCTGATTTAGATTCTAGGCGCCTTCAAACAAATTAATCTCAATTTCATTTGTCCAGAGAATAGAGTGGATTGGCTTCTCTAATCCTTTTTCCTTTCCAGGCATTTGCACTTACTGCAAGATAAATGTGCATGTCTGGTTCTGCCTGCGGCCAGACTCCACAGTCTAGGCCTTGACAATCGAGGGAAATGGGTCACTCAGAGAAATGGAATCCAGGTTGGCTCTGTCTCTGCCTTGCTTGGTCACCCTAAGCAAGTGCCTTCTGCTCCCAGGCCTTAGGGCTCCCAGCTATAAAATAAGAGGGTTAATGGGGCCAGGGATTTAGCTCAGTGGTTTCGCCGCCTGCGGCACAAGCGCAAGGACCCGAGTTCAATCTCCGGTACCAAGTAAATAAATAAATAAATAAATAAAATAGGGTTAGCTTGAAGGCTCCATGCTGCTTTTAAGACCAAATGCCCTGTGACATCAGGAGTTGGAGAGCTGTATAGGTACCTGCCTTCCTGGGATGGGCCACCTGGAAGGGCTTGTGTCTGTGGGATTTGTTGTATTTGTGTCTATCCATATTTCCACCAACTGAGCCCCATTTATAAGCAAACCACACAGCAAATGAATGTCTCATTGTTATAACCGAACAATTTTGCCCAGTATGAAGAGCCTTTGCTTTTCCACTTGTCTGAGCATAGGTCCTCATCACATCTCCCAGTCTCAGATCCTTGTCAGATAAGCAGAAAGTCTTCTGACATGTCACTCCTCTTGAGCAGCTCATATTAATGCAGGATTCCACCTAAATCAGAAGTTACAGCTGAGAACGCTGGGCAGCGCTTTTAACAAGTATCAGCAGGAGGGCTGGGGATTTAGCTCAATGGTTCTGCTGCCTGCCTTGCAAGCCCAAGGTCCTGAGTTCGATCCCCAGTACCAAAAAAAAGTATCAGCAGGGACAATAAGTAGAATGACACTGTCTTGGAGCAGAAAACTTCCCAGCTGTGGTGATGGGCATGACCTCAGGCTGAGACTTTTGGAAGGAGCTGACTTGGGAAGGGGAAGGCAGGAGCAACCCAGTGGGCTTTGCAGCCCCCACTCTTCAGGCTCTGTCTGTATCCATGACATGCCATACGGAGCAGACAGACCTGAGACTCGACCAGGAAACCCAGGATCAAATCCCCAGCCTTCTTCTGTGGAGTAGGCCTCAGGAAGGCAGTCCTGTAGAGTAGATCACTACCCTCAGTGGGCCTTAGGCTGCTCTTCTGGGGTTCTGCAGAACCGTAGGACATCCTCCTCCCTCAGGGAGGACCACATCTCTGGGAAATATGGATATGTGTCAGAGGTCACAGCAAGCTGGGCTGGGTGAGCCATCTTGGCATCTCTGAACTCCGCTGGAATCAGTGCCCAGAGCTCACAGTCTGAAATTGACCTGTCAACCAGCCTCGCCTATGTAATCCTGTCCCGTGGCTGCCACCCAGTGGCAAGAGGTGGTGGTGAGGAAGTGACCCGTGATTATAAAACAGGAACCTCCAAAGTACACCTGTGTTTTGTTTTCAGATGACGGGCAGATATGAGATGTATGCACGGGAGCTTGCTGAAGCTGTCAAACCCAACTACAGCCCCCCCATCTTGAAGGAGTAGCTGGCTGCACCCCTTCCTGCCCGGGGATAGGGGTGGGTGCCTCTTTCCCCCAGTGGAGAAGCATGCGGGACAGGTGTTCAAGTTCTGATAAGGATGCTGCCCCAGATGGGTTTTTCAATACCCAGGTGAGGGGAGGTGAAATGGGGAATGGCTGCTAAATGGGCATAAGATTTCTTTCTGGAGTGATGGAAATGTTTTGGGATTAGACAGAGGTGATGATGGTTGCACAACACTGCAAATGTATAAAGTACCACTGGATCGTATGCTTTACATGTTTTATGACTCCTACCTCGCATTTAGAAAATTATTCGGGTACTGCTTGGGCCAGTGAATTTGAAGTTAGATGGGCTGGGTGTGGTGCCACACGTCTATAATCTTGGGAGGCTGAGGCAAGAGAATTGCTGTGAGTTGGAGGCCAGCCTGGGTTACATAGTGAGTTCAAGGCTAGGCTGAACTGCATAATGAGACCCTGTCTCAAAGAAGGAGTTAGACAGATGGGATGCCCCAGTCCTGAGGTGACATTAGCAGGTTGAGGGTCAGCGTGAGCATCTGTTGTGATGGTGGGAAGAGGGTGTGGGTTGATGCAGAGTGACAGCCTACAGCATGGCTGCAGGTGTGTCAACTTGATTTGACTGCAGTCCCCTGGCTAATTATCCAGGCTGGCCTTGAACTCCTGGATTTAAGAAATTCTCCTGTCTCAGCCTCCTGGATAGCTGGGGCTATCTGTACACAGACCCGTGCCCAGGTTTGTGGAGTTACTGTTATTGTTTTGTTTTGGTTTGGTTTCTGTGGTACTGGGATTGAACCCAGAGTCTCATACATGCTAAGCAAGTGCTCTGCCGTTGAGATATACCCCAGCCCTTTTAAAATTTGGAGACAGGGTCTCACTTAGTTGTAAAACCTGGCCTCCAGTTTATAATCTTCCTGCCTTGGCCTTTTGAGTAGCTAGGCTTACAGGTGTTTACTACCACACCTTGGTTGTGTGAAAGTAGTTTATAGATGTGATTAAAGTCCAAGGGAGATTATCTCATATAACTTGGGTGGTCCCGACTCAATCTAAAAAGCAGATCAGATTCCATGTGAGCAGACAGCAGTTCTAGCCCCTGAGGAGAGTTCCAGCCTGCTGCCTTGACAGCCTGCTCTTGGGTTGGACTTGTCTAACCAGCCCCTACAATCACTGGCTTCAGTTCCTTGCAACAAATCTCTTTATATCTCACTGGGTCTGGATTTCTCATTGGGTCTGACTGACACAGATTTTGGTACCAGAATTGGTTCCAGAGAATGAGAATCCTAAGGATGAGTTTTCTGCATTGGTATTAGGTTTTCTGGAATTCTCTCATTTGCTTGGCGCTGGTGACTATTTTGAATGGCAAAAAGGGAAGTGGCAGTTCACAGCATGATGCAGCCGTGGAGATTCATATGTGGCATAGGCCCTCAGCCAGTGTCCAGGAGTTCCAGCCCACCCTTCCTGACAGCCTGCCCTGTGGGTCTCAGACTTACTGAACCAGCCCCCAGCGTCATGTAAAGCAATTCCTGCACTAAAGCTCTTGATATCTTATTTCTATCCATCCCCTGGTGGTTCTGCTTTTGAGTTTGATCCTCAACTTGCATATCAGGTTAGTCACCTCCCTACACCTTGGTTTCCACGTCTGTAAAAGCAGACCATGTGCCCTGTCCTGCTTTATCTCACAGAGGGGTGGTGACAGACTAGGTGAGCTAGGGAGCTCCCTGGCAATTGTCAGTGCAGTGCCCATGTGGGCTCTGTGCCTTACAACAGCCGCATGGCAGCTGACCAGAGTGTGAGGGAGTAGTGTGCTGTAGTTCCACCCTTCCTGTTCCTGGTCAGAGTGCAGCCTCATCCCTTCACCGGCCCAGGAACTGCACTGCATGAACAAGCCCATGTTGGGGCTGGACAGCCCTTGGATGATAAAGGCCGATGGAGTGGCCTGACTATGCTAATCCCCATAGCCTCTCTGAGCTGCAGGTAGTAGTCTGCTTTGGACCTTATTTCTTCATAAAAGACAGCCCTGCAGACATGGTGAGCCTTTTTTTTTTTTTTTGTCTGGCCTTTCCGGATCTTTGTACCTATCATTTCTAGGAGCATGTAATCAGCCAAATATAGAGGTTTTGAGGACATGTTGTATTTATGAGTAATGCACCAGGCACTTTGATTATCCATACCTTTGAAAACAACAATCGGGCTCATCCTAGAGTAGGCAGGCTCTGCACAGATAGGGTGTTTCCAAGATTTGCCTTGTGCCTGGAACAGGTGATGCTCAGAAAACATTTGTTGATCCCGGCCATGGTGGCACAGGCCTGCAATCCCAGCACTTGGGACGCTGAGGCATGAGGATTGCCCTGAGTTCGAGGCCAACCTGAACTACATAGTGAGACCCTGTCTCAACCCCTCCCCTCAAAAAAAGTTTGTTGAATGAACCTGGGGTTAAGGTTTTATGCGTGTGTTGCTGATGCCATGGAGAAGGCTCACAGCTGAGAACTTGCTTTGGTTCAGTACCCATGGCTTGCAGGCCCTCTGGGCCCTCTGCAATCTTGGGTGAAACATTCTGATCCCTCAGTTTTCTCACAACAAGTAGCTGGACTCAGAGTTCTTCAGAGTTCTTCCAGCTCCCGCAAGCAGCCTTCCTGCCAGGCGACAGCTTTATTTGTAATGCTAGGGACTGACCCCAGACCCTTGCACATGCTGAGCACACACTCTACCACTGAGCCCAGCAGCTTCACTGCTGGCATCTGGAGTGGGGTCAGGGTGGCCAGACTACACTGTGCCCGAAAGGAAAAAGAGAATTCTCAAGCATAGACCAGGAGCTAAACCACAGTCTTAGTAAGTTAAAAATATTCAAATCCTATAATGTGTATTTTCCAATCAGAGTGGACTTAAAGGAGAAATCAGTAGCAAAAGAAAAACTGGGAAATTCAAAAATAGGTGGAAATTAGCACACTACTTTTTTCTTTTGCAGTGCCGGAGATCAAACCCAGGGCATTGCACAAGTTAAGCAAGTGCTATACCCCTGAACTACTCCCCTTGCCCAATAGCATACTCTTAAACACCCAGTGAGTCAAAGGAAATCATAGAAGAAGTTAGAAAATATCTTGAGATACATGAAAAACACAAATACCAAAACATACAAAATGCAATGAAAAGCAGCGCTAAGAAAGAAACTTATTGCTATACTTACATTGAAGATCTCAAACCAACGACCAAACTTCACATGTTGAAGAACTCTGAGCGTGTGCATGACCAAATGAAACCCAACACTAGCAGAAGAAAGGAAATGATTAGAACAGAGGTAAAAAAAAAAAAAAAGCAGTAGAGGAGATAAATGAAAGCAAAATTTGTTCTTCAAGAAGATCAAAAATGGCCAGGGATTTAGCTCAGTGGTTCTGCTGCCTGCCTCGCAAGCACAAGGTCCTAAGTTCAATCCCCGGTACAAAAAGATCAAAATTGACAACCCATAGCTCGATTGTAATAATGTCTTTTTTTTTTTTATCAGTCAATCAGAAATAAAAGTGGGAGCCAGGCATGGTGGCACATGCCTGTAACCCCAGCACTCAGGAAAACTGGGTGTCCACATGCAGAAGATTGAATCTAGACCCAAATATCTCACCATGTACTAAACTAAAATCAAAATGGAACAAAGATCTAATGTTAAAACACTTGAGCAGGGCATGGTGGCACATACCTGTAATCCCAGCACTCGGGAGGCTGAGGCAGGAGGATTGCCATGAGTTCGAAGCCAGAGTGGGCTACATAGTGTGTTGAAGGGCAGCCTGAACTACATAGTGAGACCTCATCTCAAAAAACAAAACAATTTAAAAAACCCAAAAATAACAAATCTGGTGAGGCTGTAAGGAAAAAGGAACCTTTCTTCATCGTTGGTGGGAATGTAAACTAGTACAACCACTACGGGAATCAGTATGGAGATTTCTCAAAAAATTAAAACTAGAAATTCCATTTAACCCAGCTATTCCCATTCTAGGTATCTTCCTGAATGAGTTAAAGACATGTTACGGTAATAGATGCATACTCATGTTTATAGCAACAAAATTCATAACAGCTTAATCTTGGAAGCAGCGTATATGTCCATCAACAGATAAATGGATAAAATATACACAATGCAGTTTATTACTCTGCCATAAAGAAGGTTAAACTTGAGTCATTCATAGGAAGATGGACCTTGAAACCATAATGTTAAGTCAAATCAAACACATAAAGTTAAATATCACATGGTTTCTTATTTGAGAAACTCATAAATAACAAAATAAAGGTAATAGAAGTGGGAGATCTTTCTTTAAAAAGAAAGAGGGTCAACAGCTGAAGAGGGGGAAGAAGGAGAAGAAGAAAAGGACGAAAAAATTGAGATGTGGGCCGGGGATTTAGCTCAGTGGTTCTGCTGCCTGCCTTGCAAGCACAAGGTCCTGAGTTCAATCCCTAGTACCAAAAAAAATTTTTTTTAAATAAAAAAAAGATGCTGTGTACAAGTGCCAACTTCCCACAAGGAATGTAATCATTATATACTGCAACCATGCATTAATAAAAAAGATACACTATTAAAAATCTCAGTGCTCGGAAGGAGAATGGCCTTGAGTTCAAGGCCAGACTGAACCACGTAGCAAGACCCTATCTCAAAACAAATTTTTTTTAAAGAAATGAATGTGGGACTCCAAGGATTTAGCTCAGTGGTGCCGCTGCCTGCCTCACAAGTCCAAGGTCCCAAGTTCGATCCCCAGTACAAGAATAAATTAAAAATAAAAGATCATTAAAAAGAAATGAATGTGGGACATTACTTCAAATTCTATAGAAATAAAAGGAATTATGAAAAATACTATAGAATCATAGGATACTATGGACAATTCAATGCCAACAAACTGGATAGCTTAGATGAAATGGATTAATTATTCCTAGAAATGCAAAACCTCCCAAGATTAAATCGTAAAGGAATAGAAACTGGGTATGGTGGCCACCTGTTATCCCAGCATTTGAGAGGCTGAGGCAGGAGGATCACCACGAGTTCGAGGCCAGCCTGGGCTGCACTGAGTCCAAAGCCAGCCTGAACTATATAGCAAGATCCTGCCTCAGAAAACCAAAAAATTAAATGAATGAATGAGTGAATAGAAAATCTGAATAGATGTCACTAGTAAGGAGAGTGAATCAGTAATCAAAGATCTCCCAACCAAAACAAGAAAAACCCACTTTGGACTAGATGGTTTCATTGGTGAAAACCACCTACCAAATGTTTTAAAAACT